AAAACTCATGACATTCTACTGCCCCATCGCATTTCCAGTATCATAGCACCGTGAACAATGTAAAGGAAACTAAATATCCAACAGGAAAACATAAGTTGGGGTGTTGTGCTGACTGACTTCTCTGTTCTCCTATTGGCTGTTATTTGAGTCCACCAATCACAGATTAAGTAAGGGATTGCTGGACATATACAATATGTACGACACCTCGACCATGCAGGCTATAGGGCTCCTGAGAGGGGGCGCCTCTGGTAAGGACCCCAGGGGCGTTGCCGCCCCTGGGATGGCCCCTGGGGGTGCCACTGCACTTGACAGGCCCCTGCGAGGTGCGGCTGTCCCTGGCAGAGCTGCTACTGGCGCCAACGCACCTGAGAGGGCCTCTGGGGGCGCCAGCTCCTCTGCCATGGCCCCTGTTGGTGCCACCGCCCCTGGCAGGGTTCGTGGGGGCGCCACCGCATTTGGCAAAGCCCATGGGGGCCCCGCCGCCCCTGGCAGGTCCCTTGCGGGCATCGCTGTTCCTGGGAGGGCCCCTGGGAACGCCACTACCTCTGGCAGGGCCCCTGGTGGCGCCGCTATCCTTTTGAGGGCTCCTGTTGGCACCACCGCTGAGAGAGAGTCCATGGGACCACCACATCCCCTGGCAGGCCCTTGGGGCTGGCGACACTACTGGAAGGGCCCCTGGGGGTGCTGCACCTTGTAGGGCAAATGGGATGGCCCCAGAGGGCACTGTCCTTGTAGGGACTCTGGGGGTAGTTGTTTTTGCACTATTTAGAACAATGGGAGAGATATAACGTTAAGTAAATATACTGCCCCACCGCATTTCCAGTATCATAGCACCGTGAACAACGTAAAGGAAACTAAATATCCAACAGGAAAACATAAGTTGGAGTGTTGTGCTGACTGACTTCTCTGTTTTCCTATTGGCTGTAATTTGGTGGATTAACATTTTAGTCCACCAATCACGGTTAATTAAGGGATTGCTGGACATATACAATATGCATGACACCTCGACCAAGCAAGCTACTGTATAGGGCTCCTGAGAGGGGGTGCCTCTTGTAAGGGCCCTGGGGTCGCCACTGCACCTGACAGGCCCCTCGTGGCACGGCCGACCTTGGCAGAACTCCTATTGGCGCCAACACACCTGAAAGGGCCTCTGGGGGCGCCAGCGACTCTGCCATGGCCCCTGTTGGCGCCACCGCCCCTGGCAGGGTTTCTGGGGGCGCCACCGCATTTGGAAAGGCCCACGGGGGCCGTGCCGCCCCTGGCAGGTCCCTTGTGGGCATCGCTGTCCCTAGGAGGGCCCCTGGGAATGCCACTACCTCTGGCAGGGCCCCTGATGGCACTGCTATCCCTTTGAGGGCTCCTGTTGTCACCATCGCTCCAGAGAGGGTCCCAGGGAGCACCACCGCCCCTGGCAGGCCCTTGGGGGCGGTGACACTATTGGGAGGGCCCCTGGGGGCACCGCACCTTGTAGGGCAAATGGGATGACCCCAGAGGGCACTGTCCTTGTAGGGACTCTGGGGGCAGTTGTTTTTGCACTATTTAGAACAATGGGAGATATAAAGTTAAATAAATATACTGCCCCACCGCAGTTCCAGTATCATAGCACCGTGAACAATGTAAAGGAAAATAAACATCCAACAGGAAAACATAAGTTGGGGTGTTAGAAGGACGTCATTGGGGTGTGTGGGGTGTTAGAAAACGTTAGGGGAGTGTGTGGAGTGTTAGTGTGGTGTGTGGAGTGTTAGAGGGGTGTTAAAGGGGTGTTAGAGGGGTGTTAAAGGGGTGTTAGGGGAGTGTGTGGAGTGTTAGAGGGGTGTTAAAGGGGTGTTAAAGGGGTGTGTGGTGTTAGGGGAGTGTGTGGTGTTAGGGGAGTGTGTGGAGTGTTAAAGGGGTGTTAGAGGGGTGTTAAAGGGGTGTTAGAGGGGTGTGTGGTGTGTTAGAAGGGGTGTGTGGAGTGTTAACAAGGGTGTGTCGAGTGTTAGAGGGCTGTGTGGTGTATTAGCGGGTTTGTGGGTTCACAATTTAAAAAATCAAGTAATTAGTGTTAATTAATTACCTTTGAAATAATCAAAGATATTTATTATATCTAAAACTCAATTACGTTGTGGCCGTAAGTGATCTGTGGAGGGCCATTTTAGTGGTACAGTACACTATGGTAATAAGATGCCATTAATGATCATACTTTATTTGTTCCGCTCTCCCTTACAAAGCTGAGCCTCTAAGTAATAACATACGCTCATTACCTACCATGATGTTATGTACATGATAATGCAGCTTCTAATACTTTATCTTTACAAAAAGCACAATAACAATGGATACAAAAAGTATACCAAATTAAAGCAATACCCCAGAACAAAGCATGAATACCATTTGTAATGATTTAATAGATTGTCTGGCACTGCACTATATGATTTACTAATCTACCCACGTCCATAAGGGCAATGCAGAAATAGCAACCACATAAATATAATGGTATACACAACATGTTTGCTAAGCACAACAAGTTATCAAGTTTCCTTAAAAAAATTATATATGGAAATCTCGCATACAAGGCAATTTATAATAATATGTAATACATGACACATTCATAAAAACAATATTTACAATATGGTACAGAGAACCTGCTGAAATGCATCGATTCATGCAATGCATCTTTGCAGCAGCTGAAACGCTTACTAGTACTGTATACAAGATGACATAAAAACACGTGAAGGATCATACCTTGTGAAAAACAAAAAATTACACATTCATCAAAGTTCTGGCTACTTTTAGTGTTTAATAATAAGAGTAACTACAAATTTTAAATATCGATGCTGCGTGCAAAGTGACAAGATATTAAAAAATGCTTAGTACAGTACTATTGTATATAAAAGCCGCAAGGAGAAAGTACGTTCCCTGACTTCAAGCTGTTATAATTTTGAATGAAAACATCAAAACATATGAAGCCAAACATATACAACTACAGTACTCTGTGAGCTGATCTAATATACAAACAGTTCAGCGAGAATTATTTAGTTATGGTTCAGAAGATTAAGAAGGTGAAGAATACACTAAGCAGTCAATAAGAATATGGCGACATTCACAGATGCAGATGAAAAGGGCATGAACTGTTCCATGTAGGACATAGGATCTGTCTGTAAAAAAAAATTCCAGTGTAATCCTTCATCTTACATACGAGTAAAGATTAGATTAATCCATCTGCACTAACAAATGCACCTATCACAGTTGAGGGTTGGCAGACACAGCAGGCACCAGCTCCAAGGGGCCCACTCATAAACACCGTCATCACAACTCACTACTGAAGGTGAGATGCACAACTTGTGGGTTTTGAGAGTCCCAGAAAAGGCTGCACCATCACCCCGCCACAGCCCCTAGCACCACTCTCCCAACTAAGGCCATTGTTGCCTACAAGCCTCCACCAGTTCAGTTTTCCATAGCAATGACAAGACAAACTTGACAGCAAACAGCACAATTTTCACTTTAAATGTAACATAATCACTCGAGAATCTTATTTTATTATAAATATATATGTTGAAGCAATATAATGGTAACTAAGTTATCATTCGTTAAAAAAATTTACCTTTAAATACTGTACAGTCATACACATTCCATATTAGTGTAGTTCTGCACATTATTCAAGCCAAAAGTTACTTACAGTATTATCAAATGTTGATCATGTAAAATATTATTAGTTTTACAGTAATCTAGTTCCAAGTAGGAAATTTTTATGCTTATCACTGAAAGACAATAATTACAATTCTGATGCCATTAACAACATAATGGTTCAAATGGCTAAAGGAATACATACACAGATTTATTAAGGGAACTAAATTCTTATGACTTTTGGCAACCATAATTCAAAATACGCATACCCAGTGTGGGTAATTGTTATTTTTTTTGGCTATGTACACATCTATTACTAGAGTGTATACAATATTACACATCTCTCAACAAAACTCATAATCATACAAGTTTCTACAAATAGACCATGGCCATTAATCTACTTGGAGCTCCGCTAAGACTACAAAATCTGTTGACGTTCTATGTTCATAGCAACATAAAGCATAATTAATTTCTTAATCTGCAATGTTACACACAGTACCCATTATTTTTTTCATTATAATGATAGTAATGCACATCTGTCACCTCACAGGAACACATTTTGAGTGTTATCCTAAAATCAGACAAACATTATACATAATTCATACCTAATATACTTCACTGAGGAGTTAATGTACCAACAAGACAACCCAGGACTCCTCTACCATGACATACTGCAAGTACATGGCCTGACATGTGTAAATCCTCCAAAACAATGACATTTTTATCCATATGTCAATCAATCAAATTTTGCCTTTTGTTATACTATTAAAAGACAGAAAAGGCGCATTCTTTCTCAAATATTCCTGTGAGGGATCATTTCCACAACTTCTAGTAAAACTCCAAATATACAAGAGAGAAAATTTACACGTTGGTTGGCCATAGTCTATATCAGGCAATCACCATTTGCTTGCACTAAAATATAAATTGTTCAAGAAAATATAAGTTGTTACTCAGTTACACACAGGTAGGTGAAGTATGCAGAAGGTTCATAGTGAGGAACTTTCATTCTTCCTACTGAAATGCCTTCATGAGCAACCAAGACTACCTGTAATCACTGTTGCAAATATATAATATCAATCTTGTCTTTCAACTCCAAAATTGATTCACTAGCATATGTAAATTGTCAATGAAAGTCACCTAGTTATTTCTTATGTTCATTCCTCACTCTTTGCTGCTGGATCATCTAGCTTTTGCCTCAATACAAGAGATACAGTACCATCCGGGAGCTTCTTTAAAAAGTTCCAAGCCTCAATGCGGGCCATACCAGTTACGTCCACAGTGTTCACACTCACTAACTCATCTCCAACCTTCAGTACACCACCTTTGTCGGCTGCACCACCTGTGAACAAAAATTCCTAATTAATAAAAATTCAAATATACAAACTTATAATGTACAGTACATTAGTTAAAGTGAAATGAATGAAGGGTGTATTGAATAAAAAATATTAATTGAAACACTAGTCATACTTACCACATTTATGCCATGTCTTTAATGAATATGTAAACAAATATTTTCCATATTCACCGCCTTGATGAACTATGACGTAAGGTGAGAAACATTCACCAAAAAAAATTTGAGCTTTAGATAAACTAATGTACACCAGCGATTATCCGGGAACTGGTGGTTCAGCACCGCCTTTAGTCCGGACAAAATTATGAGGGGGCACTAAACTTACTTCCTTCCTTCCTTCCTTCTCTCCTTCTCTCCCTCTCTCCCTCCCTCCCTCCCAGCCTGGGTGAAGGTAGTTTTAGGCTTAGAATTTTTATCTTATAAAATGTAGCTGACTAGATTTAGCAGAATATAATTTGAGTATAAACATCACATAGTTTAATTTAAGTTTCTAGCAGTCGATGGTGCTTTAGAGACACAGGAGATGTATTGTTGAATTATTATTACCTGACCTCGGTTGGTCCGGCAAAACGGATAATCCGGCAAAGCTTTGGAACCAAGGGTGTCGGAAAATCGGTGGTGTACCCATATACTATGCTTAAATAAACGTTTACTGATGCCTTTTCCCCCTATTAATTATAAGACAATTACTGTAATTGTCATTTATACTCTGAAGGTACAGCATTGTATTCTTTAGCACCCAAGAACAAAATATAAAACATAATACATTAAAGGTTCCCGGTCAACAGTCATTTATTACGGATGAAAAAAATGCAACTTGGTTAAATTGCTAGTCTATGAAACCTTTTTCAACTAATAATTATTTTAAGAGTAACAAACTCCTTTCATATTGTTCTAAAAATAAAACAACTTCTAAACAAAGGAAATAAGCCAAATGCAGAACATCTCCACTAAAAGTACAGTAAAGGCGGCATCACACTAACACTTTTCCCGTTAACTTCCCAATTTCTGTTGTTTTTTCCACGAACTGTAAATTTTTCTAATCCGTCTCACTCAGACGAAGCATATCATTTCCCCCAGACTAGCTTGCGCCAATTTCTGTGGTAAAGTCAAGACCTATATGCAACAATGAGGATATTTATATAAAATAAATATTCGTAAATACATCTGATATGTGTAATAACATTGAGCCATGTGTTCAACTTCTTCACGGCCTCTCTACCTATTCCTGTGTGGACGCGCCTGTCTGAAGAATACAGAAGACAATATTAGATCTCATCAATGCTTGTGGGACCCAAGGGATGATAGATACAGTACACAATAAAAAGAATGAAGAGGAAGGCATACAATGCCATCTTCTTTGTTTACAATTGATGAACACAGAAAGACTGGAGCACTACAGTACTTCTCTATGTGTGTGACAAGGCGAAGCTCAGAAGACAAGTTTTAGAAAATTGATGCAAGAAAATGCCGGAAAAAGTGCGTATGGCACCACCTTAAGTGGTATCAGCTTGTGCTGCCCCCCCCCCCTCATCTTTCAAGCATGGGATTGGGATATAACTCTTTTACTTTTGGTACCCATATTGAAGCCTTTTACCTACAAAAATAAGAGGGACTGCCAGAAAAAAGTTAGGTAGCGAGAAATTTTGCTCAGGAGTTCATTACTATACTATCTTACCAGCCCACTGGTCAGTCACTCACTTAGCTCCCGCCAAGTTGCTAGATACTGCTGTTTGAATGAATCATACCAAAAACTGTAACATCACTTCATTGGATGATTGTACTGTACTGTACCATACTACTTCAAGTCTGCATGTCCATTTATGCTTGTTTGCATTTTAGTCACTAACAGACATTGAATAACACTAATATGTACCATACAGGACCTTTCCCATGCAGCCACCCATTAAAAAAAATAGATATTTCTCTAAAGCTTATTTACAGATCTAATACAAGCTTGGAATGACTCATTATATATATATAAAGACCACCAAAAAAATGTGACAGTCAAAGTTAGATTGGGTTAGGTTAGGTTGAGATGGTTACCTGTGTCAAGGAGGACAAAATTTGACAGTCAAGATTATACAGTACTGTACTGTACTGTAAAGAGCTGCTCCTCGACCTACGATCACCCGGACATATGACCGCCTCAGTCGTACGCAAATTTTGTCAAATTACGTATTTTCGAGTCCCAACGTTAGTGATTGCGCTGTGTACTGACAAAATTTTTGTTTGTAATTCACTTTAAAATGGCTGGCAAGCTTAAAAGTGAGAGTTTTGTGGTGCTGAGAAGAAAAAAGAGACCCCCATTTTAGATTTTCTATGTATTATTTAAGCATTTTCGACTTACGATCTATTTGGGTCCTTAACCCCGTCGTAAGTTGAGGAGCAGCTGTATACTTCACCCAACAGGAGCAGATGATTTTGCTAGTACAGTATAGTATATAATCATGTACCAGGTACAGATTCATTAATATCTTCGACTGAACAAGCTCAACTAAGAAATGTTTTCAACTTACCACTAAATATCTTTTTAACAGTCAGGGGCCGGTCACCCAGAGGAGAATCTTTACCGCCCTCTAATGAGAAACCCAGACCAGCACCGTCCTTCATCAGTGTGATGGTGAGTGGAGGACCTCTTGGGATGGACATTGCTGCAGCATCTACAAAGAAATTAGAAAATAAATAAAAAATAGATAAATATATCATTCTTTCCCCCCTACACTGTACAGTACTGTATTTACTATCCAATTTCACCAAACATTGCACTCTTCATATCTTTAACCTGAGCACTGCATATCTGTGCAATTCTTCCGCATCAAGCATCACTTCTCAGTACTAATAATATTCCATATATAGTGGAATTTGGGTTAAAAATTACATGGAAAACACTACAGTACTAGGATGACTAACAAGTAATTACTAACCGGAAATAAGACTTTTGCTGTCCATTGGGGATTCAAGAATCTTGGGAGGTCTGGGGGAGGTGACGTGGTTAATGAGAGCCGGTCGGTGGATGAAGTTTCCTTCAGATTCTGTTCCACCAGACTCCTGTGGTGTGACTGATCGACTTCTAGACAGAACCATTACAACCTCTGGTCTTGGTGACTGAAAATAATAAACATAGTATATAATTAAATGAAGCAGATAATCGTATCTGAATTTGTTTTTGACAAAAGTTTTGATTTTTAAAAATGAAAAAGTTTCAACTTATGCAATATAGTATTCTTGCAGCAAAATACCTGGATACAGTGTTTGGTGTTTATTACCTTAAGTATGGCGAGGGCTTCTCTGTGTGTGACACCTCGTAGGTTCTTGCCATTGATAGACAGAACTCTATCACCACGCTGGATACGTCCATCACGATCTGCTAAGCTGCCAGGTATCACCTTGTGTACCTGTTGGAAACATAGTATTTAGACAAAATATACACAACACTCACTAACCAGTTTGTAATACTGTACAGTATAACATATTTACTGTAGCCAGTGATGACATGAGAAGTGAGGATTGTTCTCTTCTGGACCATAAAGGAATGTGTTGGTCAGGCGTGGATGTCAAATGACATGCAAATGCTAAATACTGTACATATTTAAAGGAAGGGTCAACTTATAAGGGACTACAAATAGGAACTGGTTTGGGACTCCTATTCTATCATACAGTATATGCAAATAACGAACAAACAAAATTTCTAATAATTCAATGATTCACCCAGGTGTTAGGTATAGTATTTGTGTTGCTGATGAAAAGGAAAGTAACAGGCAATGGTTAAAGGATGTGATCAGTGTCTACTAATAAATACAGGTATCCCCCTATTTACAATAGGGTTGCATTCCTGAAAACTCTAACGGAAACCGAATAAATGTAAATCAGGATCCTTTTAACATGGGTTTCAATGGGATATGATCCTACACTATAATTACTGTAGATACAGTACTGTAAATTAAATATAAAATACATCAAACCAGGCTCACCACATTAATAATAACAAGCCTGCTGCTTAGCAATGTCTAACCTCATCTACCGAGACCGGTCTTCCTCAAAGCCTTGCCTTTCCCAAAGGCGGGAGAGTCAGCGGGACACTTGCCAGCCATTTTCAAAGTTACAGAATTATTGTATTGTACACTGTTCACTTCAGTCACCAAAAAAGAGCAAATACCAATACTGTAACGGAAAAGTATTACAGCAATCACAAGATTATGCAGTGATTAATAATATTTGTTACATGAGCGAGGGCAGATGCCATCATGTTGAAACAAAGCGTGGGACTGTAGTTCACATGGTAGCCGTGAGGCTGCATGTGGGTAAGTGAGCTGTGCAGAGGATGGAAAAGCAGTTTCTGTGCATATCAGCCTTCTTGGATTTGACAAGTGAAGGGAAAGACGAACTTCCCCGGTATTTTTATTCTGTGTCAGCGAGCTTAGCCCAATAATAACTATCGTTAATGTGGATTTTGCCTAACGTAAATAACGAGAAGGTGTTAAAACCTAATTAACGTTAATGTGGATTATCATAAAATGAATGATTGTAAATAGTGGGACACCTGTGGTTGATAGTGTGGTGTGGAGTGGTAGGTGAACAGTGTGGTAAGTAGAGGTTATTAAAAAGAATGTGGAAAGGTGGAATATTAACAGTAATAAAACAAAATTAGGGAATCAGATACAGTACAGCACTTATACGACTACTCTATGGTTACAATATGCTGTATAAGAAAATGCAAAGGAGCTTAAACTTATAAAAATTACAATGAGTTATATAAGACATTATAAAAACTACAAATAGGATGAAGATAATGCAGACGGGGACATAAAAGTGATTACGTAACATCATTGAACTTACATACAATATACATTATAAAACTTGGTATGATTAACAAATGGTCACAACATGAAGAAATGACAAGGGCTTGAAGATAAGGACTAGATGTGGTGGTCAGAGCATTCCATTAAGAGATAAATGATAGCGGATGTAAAAGTTCTTTGTTGAGTGGTGATGTATACAATAATGCTGATCTGTTATGGTGATAAGTGGTTGATGGTGAGCAGGGATGGGTCAAGGTGGGAGCTAATGAGGTTATGCAAAGATGGATAGTGGTGGTGAGGGACTTTGGGTGATAGTGGTGTAGAGTGGGGCCATATTAGGACTCTGCTGTGGTGGAGAGTGAACCATATTGGGAAGGGATGGTGGTGGGGAGTGGAGAAAATGAGCTAAAATAACTACATTGGGTCATAATGCAAAAAAAATAAAAGTTGTTTCCAGTTCATGAAGCTGCCACATGACCTGTAAGGCTGTGGCATCATCTGGAGACCAAATATAGCTGGAATAGACCTTTAGTCACATCCTTTTGTGTCATGGGGTCAAAAAATAACCTGTTTTAATCTTCACCAATTTTTTTAGACACTCAGGAGAAAACCAGGAATGTTCTATTGGAAATAAGAATGAAAAACAGAGGATGCCATTAAAATACAACAGTTCCCCTTCATCTTCCCCCTCATATACAGGGAGATAATCCTCAGATGATCCTCTACTGTGGGATAATCTGATGAAGGCATCCCTGGAGGTTGATAAAAAACAAAAACTATTTTCTATTTACCCGAGCTTTTAAACCCATTACTGTACTGAAGGCAGAGCAAATAAAATACTGTACTGTATATAGAAATATTAGGAGAACCTATTTCTTTTAATGGTAGCCCCATTTTTTCATAACTACTGACAGTATTTTGATATTTATTTGAACCTTCCTTGAGTTCACCTGAAGGTATCCACAAAATTGAGTGTTAAGTTGGCAAGATTGTACAGCAGTTTGGTCCATGATACATTAAGGATTAGAATAACAACTCAATGTAACTACAGAGGCCCATCAGATGAAGATATAAGATGCAGAGGAGATGAGCATGAGATTGGAACACAACAAGAAAGAAAGAGACCGTGATGCTGTACAGGAGAGAGGGGGTACAGTAGTAGGTACCTGGCCTAAATATGGAAGATAATGGAGGTGACCAACCAGGTGTGTCATAAGTGGTCATTGGTAAAGCCCGACACTTGAACACAGAGATCCACACAAGGGTCTGCTGCCACTTATATATATACACAACAACATTGACTGTGTGTTTGTTGGCTGTACTCGCCACCACTGTGAGACTAATCTAATGTACAGTAACTATAAAAAGTATCTGTCCACACAATGCATGAAACATTATGAGACCCCAGATGACAGATACTGGGCAGGTATTTAATACAGCTGTACTGTGTTATTGTATAAAGTCTAACAAAATTAATGCAATCTGTATTTATATCAGCATAATTAATATGATGTTCAGTTACCAAATGAATAGAATCGGTATGCTACAGTCACACACACACACACACCAACCCTCCAGGGACATCACGAATTGCATGTTGCACTTCAGAAGACATTTGACCCATCCTGGTAGACACACACACACACACTACCCAACCAACCCTAACAAAACTATTACAAGTATTATCATTATTACCAGGTATTATTGTTATTATTGTTATTGATGTTGTAATTAATATACACATTATTATTATTATCACCATCAACACTCACAATCTATTAGTATTATCTTTATTAACAGTAGCTCCTATAACAATGGTGTGGAGTAATATCTTGTGTTATGCTGGTCTACAGTCACGATCCTGGCAGCTGCTGATGGTGTTAGCAAAGAGAACCTTGACTCCTGTATGGTCGACTCACACCTCAGTTTCACCTCCTGTTAGAATTCCATGGAGGTCAAAGATTGGGAAGGGAGTGTGTAAGGCGGGTGTATGGATGAGAAGGAAGGGAGGTGATGGGAAGGGGGAGAGATAGATGTAATAAAGAGTTATATAAGGGAAGGAATAACACTTGGGGGGAAACAGTCAGGGAATAAGACAAGCCAATTCTCTTAAAAGCAACAGGTGTGGTTAATTAAGTCGGGTCGTGGCTGATAGAGGAGAGAGAGAGAGGGCGAAGGAACAAACTTACCGTGATTTCCTTAGCCTCGTAGTCAGCTCCTCCAGCCAGTGTGATGCCTATAGAGCCGTGGCCGACGATCTCCCTATGTAACACCACTACCAGGATCTCGTGTGAGGGCGTCCCAGACTCCTCCAATGACTGGTTGGCTTCCTCTATCAACTGAGCCAACTCCTGGAAAAAAAAAACACAGTCAGTCAGGATACAGAGACAAGGGAAATATATGTGGAAAGTCACCAGAATATTTCGCCTTTAATAAGCTTATTTTACCTGATGATTAACCACCCTAATGATAGCAGGATAGGTCACTCTCTAGAGAATAAGAAAAAGATGAACAGATGACTTATTATGAATAGTCTGAAGTAAACGGCAACTCACAGTACATTACGTATAAACAATATTAAGAAGTTGTCTTTAAACATCACGCCATTAAAGACAGAAGCTATTTCTCCCTCCCTGTGGCTGTTAACCTCTGACCTCCCTCCCCCTTGATATCTATAATGAGTAGGGTCGTTAGCCGTGAGCGGTTATACATCCATTTATGTCGCAACAAGGCCCTTCAACATCACCCCTAGTCGTTTTGAGTATGTGTAGCTGTGACATTATGCTCTCTCTCTCTCTCTCTCTCTCTCTCTCTCTCTCAACTTCGCCTCTTTTCTCCATCTCACATCTCCTGTCCTTCCTTTCCTCCCTCCTTTGTTTCTATGTTCTACCTCCTGTTGTCTCTCCTTCTCTTTCCACTCCCCCTCCCGTCTCTCTCTCTCACCCTCTAGGCTGGCCATCACGCCGCAGGGGCAACTGGCGTGATCACCTGAGGCTGGATCTTCCTGGGTGAATGATCCTTTACCCAGGTCTTCCTACGGTTGTCTCTGTTGCTGACCTAGGCTGATCCTTCCTGGCCACGGGGGACCTTTCCTGACCACGGCTGATCCTTCCTGACTCCTGGTGACCCTTACTGACCACAGCTGACCCTTCCTAAGAGACACAACTGATCCCTCCTGCTGTCTCTGTTATTGATCTTGCTGAACCTTTGCCTGCCCCGGGACAAAGCTGACCCTCCTGAGTAGGCACAACTGACTGACTACGCCCCTCCCCTTCCGTTACCTGGAGGTGGTTGGAGGAGGGGGCGAGAGGTCAAATTACCTCCAAATAAACTCACCACACTTAGTCACAATGTCACTTGCCTCATCTTCAAGGATCCTCTATTCTCCTGGTTGAGTAAACTATTTAAATTCCAAGATACTTTTACTTTTACTTCATTACTTTGAAACTATTTACAAACGTCATTGTCCAAACAGCGGCTGGTTGAGGTGGTGGGGAGAGGGGGAGGAGGGAGGGGAAGGAGGGGGAAAGAGGGGAGGGTGAAGAAGAGGGGGGGAGGAAAGGGAGATCCAGCCTGTTATCATCCACCTCCACAACCTTAACACAATCCACCAACAACTTTCAAAACTTCCTCCACCACTGGAACACCTTCAGTATCAACACCACTCTCGACCACTAGTATCCTTCACCATCACCACACACCACCATCACCACACACACCACCATCACCCACAGCTCACCACCATCATCACACACAACACCATCACCCACAGCTCACCACCAAAAGTAATATAACTGCTGGTAATATAATATAATTAGCCCCGTAAAATACCATCAGTGAACCTCATGACCGTTCTCACCCCGCCTTTTGTTGCGCCTCACAATGATGGAGAAAAGAAAATGAGAAGCGGGAGACAAAAGCGCAGAGTCAGGCGCACCTCCGACCTTGGTCAAGGACGCTGGCTCGCCCTCACCCGTCTCCACCACCGCCGCCGCCTCCATCACCAACACCACCGCCTCTACCTGTACCTCCACCACCCTCTCTCTCTCTCTATCACCACCATTGAGTGAAAACTTGTCTCTCTCTCTCTCACTCTCTATCTCTGATTCTCTCTATCCGTCTCCCCCCCCCCCTCCATCCTCTCACGGGGTGTATTCTTAAGAGTAACCGGCGCTGACCTGAGAAGACATTCCCATTAACGTTCTATGTTCAGATAAGAATGTGAAGGTGTCTCTCTCTCTCTCTCTCTCTCTCTCTCTCTCTCTCTCTCTCTCTCTCTCACCTATCCTGACACAGCGATTTTAACACCTCGTAGGAAGTTAGCAAACAGGAAGCCGAATAAAAACTACAACAATGTATTCTCAAAATATTCCCACATAAATTGGGTCACCTGAAGATTCGTCCCCCTCAACAAATTTCACCTGAAGATGGTTAGGTTAGGTTAGGTTAGGTTAGGTGAGGTGTGAGATGTTCATATTATCTAAAACACCAACACACGAAGTCTTGTAAGGGGGCAGGTCGTGTAGTAAGGGGGCAGGTCTTGTAGTAAGGGGGCAGGTCTTCAACCCAACAAAACAGGTTTTGCAGGAGAACCATTCCAATAGCCATCCCGTCTTACCCAGGGCTTCAGGAGGGAGAGCGGGAGGAGGAGGACGGGGAGGGGGGAGCTAGCAGGATGACGGGAGGAGGAGGTCACATCAGCCTCCCACATCACCTGCACCACTCTCCTCCTCCACCTTCCACCACACCTCTGCCTCCTCTACTAAGCCACTCACTCGCACTGTCTGTACCACCACTACCACACTGTACCACCATGACCACACTGTACCACCACTACCACACTGTACCACCACGACCACACTGTCTGTACCACCACTGCCACACTGTACCACCACGACCACACTGTCTGTACCACCACCACATGCCTTCTCGACGTTACCAGTTCAGGATTTCTTGGATATGGAAGGAGTGTTTACTGTCCTAGGCATGTCCTAACTCACTCCTCTTATGGAACTTCATCATACATAACTAAATACTCGTCCATTGCTTACATCACAAGTCAATGATGATTCACAAGAGGGTGCTGAAGTCCATCTTGTTTACCACGACAAAGAATGATGATGATAATGATGAATGAGGTGACAATGATGATGTGGTGGTGATGATGATGATGATGATGATGATGATGATGATGATACAAGTTCAACAGTAATCAGGTCTTGTACTTAAGACTCGCCAGATACGCTGTCGATAACTGACTCCACCACCAAATACAGAAAACTAAAAACTACGTATAATATTATCTCAACCTTACGTACATTAAATTTATCCCCTACAAAAAATTAAATAATCTAGTTAAGTTCAAGTCACAATACAATTTAGAGGCCATTTTTTACCACCGTTTTAAGCCAGTCAGTTAAGTGTACTCCCTACAGTTAAGGGAGAAAAAAAATATATCTGATCGTACGAAACTTTTAAGAATCGGGAAACTTCGTCGTTCGCCAGTAGCGGTTCAGGAATTTTTTCAAGAGCAAGTTTTTTTTTTTTAAGTGGTGTGGGGGAGCTAAGTTGAGGGGGTGGAGGGGTGTAACGAGGAAGGGGGACAAACAGAAGGGGGAGGGTGGGGTGACAAGGAAAGGGTGGACAACCAATATACCGAACAAGTGAAAATAATAACAAAAACGAATAAGATTAAATTACAAGCATAATCAAACAATTTCCCTACAAAACAAATCAATAAGTTTTAAACGTACAATAACTCGGGTGAGATTTTGAGCCAAATATCGAAAAAAAGGTGGAAAAAACAAAAGATCACTCGCTCTCTGTTATTCTGTCAATCGTCTTGTCTGGGAACTGGAAATCAAATGTTGGGTCTTAAACAGTTTCAATTCTAACAAGTTGAGAGCGAACAACCGGTATTCACAACTGACAGGAAATGTGTAATTACAATCAAGGTTGAACGAACTACACACATTAATGAAAAAAAAAATACTGAAAAATAAACACACACAAAAATTCATTAATAACATATAATCGCTATGGTAACAATACTGTATACTAAACACTGTTCCCGAGATAACGCTTCCCTGGACGTGTTTGGTAATACTGCAATAAACGATATATTTCACCTAGTCTAATTTATTTCTATCGATTCCTAAACATCTGACGGTCACACTCGACACTAGCCGCCCTCACAATCACCAGTAATACACATGAATAAAAAATTCTGTTGCTTTTGGCCTGAAGGGGAGGTTAATTTTTGCCTCCAGTGTTGACAAACTTTACTGAGTGGTAGAGGTGAACTTCCTGACAGCAACAACCAGCTTGATCAATCATCGACCAGAAAGCTTATTTACACACCCACAATGGTTAAGTAGCACCCCAGCACGCCCACAATAGTAAGTAGCACCCCAGCACGCCCACAGTTGTAAGTAGCACCCCAGCACACCCACAATTGTAAGTAGCACCCCAGCACACCCACAGTAGTAGCACCCCAGTACGCCCACAGTAGTAGCACCCCAGTACGCCCACAGTAGTAGCACCCCAGCACGCCCACAGTAGTAGCACCCCAGCACGCCCACAGTAGTAGCACCCCAGCACACCCACCGTCTGTGTAAATGTCTTATAAACAGCCATTCTTGCCGTGTCTGAGGCAGCAGATGGCCCAATCATGAGTTTCTTTGTCTTGTATGTCTGTGTATGAAGGTGTCTGTATGTCTGTGATAATGTCGGTATGTATGTATGTCCAAATATGTCTAAGAATGTTTACGGTTATATGTCTAAAAAAAAATGTTTGTACTAATGTCTACCGTGTGTAATTGTCTGTTGCAGTATACACACAGACACCTGGTTAGACATACACATAGTCAGACACGCCTATAAGAATAGATAACTTAGTTTGGTTGATATTAATATGATTCTGGCCATCGTTAATGATATGTTTTACCTGTTGACAAGAAGCACGTGTTGTATACAATATTTTTCTCTTCCCTCCCTCCGCTGAGTAAACCACCCACTCAAACAAGCAGGGGGGGTTGACAGTTACCTACCTGACATTTGGCAATACGATTCTTCAAGGTGATCACACATCCCCAGTACAAATTTGACCTTATGTTGTTCAACTTTGCTGTCTGATTCACCTGAGGCGGCCGGTGGTGACGGCGTGTCAAGACCCAACACCGCTTCTTTCACCTTGGTTTTCTTTTTGTGTCGCGGATAATGAGGCAGTAGATGTCAAAATAGATTTACTGGGTATATTTAGTGTATAAATATATTTTTTTCGTCTTTTTTTTTTGTCCAGGGAGAATGATATATTAGAAATTAAAGTGCCGTTATACACCGGCCTGGTTCATACGTCTGGCAGCTCCCAACAGGCAACGAAATCTTGCCAACACTCTAAACATTTTGTGATGAAATTTTCACGCTTGTATAAAGGTGAACTATATTTTGTGTTATTTTTATATTTTTTACAATACTTAAAAAATATGACTTAACAATGTGAAAATTTATTTGGAGATCGTGAATACCGAGAAGAAAACGTGGTCAATTTGATGGCAGCAAAATTTAATTCCAGTTCACAAAAAGGTCGTATAAATAATTTTACAGTTTTCTAAATATTTTCTGCAATAATACAGTATGGCGGGACTTAAGAACACACACAAAAGTACAAAGACTCGCTCTTCATTCGATAACATTTATTCTAACTGCTGTAATAGAGGAGTTGTGTTTGTCACGGTATACTTTCATAACTCGGTCCTAACTTAAAACTGGTTTACTCATGTCGCCTCACGCAGTTACCAACACAACCTTCCTCCTCAAAAATCACTTAGTCTCCACTTATTCACGCGCACTACTGCTTCCTGGATGTGCCTCAGTGTCAAGACCTAACTAACTGTCTCTCTCTCCACCTCTACAGTAGATATACTTCTCACCCATTCCTCCATCTACTTGTTCTTCTTCGCTTCGCCTTCCTGCAATACGTCTCTGAATAAACTTAACCATTCTCTCTCATTGTCTTCACTCTACCTGAAAATATTCTTTACCTATTCTTAATACGAATAATAAGGAATTAATAAATAAAAATACTGATGGACAAACAAGTTAATGAGCTTTAGGGTATAACTAAGTAACTCTCCTTACCTGTCCATATACAATACCTTACCTTTATAGATAATGTACTAATATTGACAGTGGTGTTCAAATACATTCCCTCTCCCCTCCCTCCACCAACCTCCTCTCATCTTCCTCTCACCTCCCCCCTTGAGGCAGCGTGGTACATGACCTTCCCGAAGACAAGAACCCACTCAGGCCATCACCCTGGGGGTCCACTCTGAACCCCCCCTCTGACAGACTTTCACCATTGTGGCAACACTGGCGGCTGCAGGAGGAGGAAAGAAGGGGAAGGAGAGGAACAGAAGGGAGGAGAGGAAGGAATGTGGAGAGAGAGAGAGAGAGAGAGAGAGAGAGAGAGATCTGTCATATAAGTAACTACAAGATTAAACTCACACACCCTCCCGGCTAACACACACACACACACCTTATGTCTTACTCACGACAAAATTAACATCTTGTACGGCTGAGTAACCAGACATGAGCACGAACAAGAGATCTAATTTATTACACGCTCACAGGGCTGACTTTAACCTAACCTAACCTAAACCTCACCTAACTTAAGTCTAACCTAACCTAATCCAACGTAACTATAACCTATCCTAATGTAACCCAACCTAATGTAACCAAATCCTACCTAACCATTACCTAACCTAACTTAACCTAACTTAACCTAACCTAACCTCCACACCATGTCATACAGAGGAGAGAGAATGTACTTACTGACGGCACCACCAGCCCCTATTAAGCTAATAATAGACAGGTAAGGTAGGTGACGAGCGTGACAGGTGAGGTAGGTGACGAGCGTGACAGGTGAGGGAGGTGACCTTGTAGGGTCATTAACACCTGGCAAGAAAGGTCACCTCGCCGTCAAGAGATAGTGACGTCAAAACAGCTGATTTATATCAACAAAAAGAAATTCTTCCCTGACGTCCAGGTATAATATTCACAGGTGTTGGGTCAACCTGGTACCTGGAACACGTAAACAAGAAGTCAGCTGTTTTGTGTTTACACCTGGTCAGAGAGACGAGAAAAATCAGCTGTTCTGTTTACATCTGGCCAGGGAAGAATCCGGTACATGTGAAACGAATCATCAATGGTACACACAACACGGTCCTGGTCACCCTAACCCTGAGATTATATTTAAAATCATGAATTATGTTTGTGAGGTTGGGAGGCAAGTGAATGGCCCCGTCGACTGGTGTGAGAGGTGGAGGGGTGTGACGAATGGGGTTGTGGGAACTGAACTCAATAAGGCATAGAGAAGGTGTGTGTGTGTGTGTGTGTAGATGTGTATGTGTGTGTGTAGGTGTGTATGTGTGTGTGTTTACTAATGGAACCCCCACATCATTTAATCCCCCTTATGTAGTTTGTATTAAAAAAGTAAAAAATAATGTAACCTAAAAAAAAATTACCTTTCCAGATTGATACAAACGGTAGATGACCCCCAGAGAGTGACAATACAAGTTCGTTAGGGGATGGAATGTAGAGTGAATAGCGGATGAATAAGAGACGGTCTGCAATTCACCAATGTATGACACAGGGCTAAAAGAGACGAACATTACACCACTTTCCGTTTGAGTGAGTGAGAGAGGGTCTGTCTGTGTCTGTGTGAGGGGTAACTAAAGGATTATTCGTGGGAAGACACAGACAGACAGACAGACAGACAACTAAAGACACGTACATTATCACAGATTTAACAGACTTGGCTTTTAATCAAGACAGACACATCACAGACACGTCATAGATTCGACTGTTTTCAATTCATGTGTTTACGAAATGATCTCTCTCTCTCTCTCTCTCTCCCGACTTCAGTACAGTTACCTGGAATTTTTATTATCCAGGACAGTGGTAAGGAATTTTGGACTCGTCAGGGTCACCTTCTACGATTTATATTAGATCACCCTGACGTTTACCTAACCTAATCTAACTTAACACTAACCTAACCTAACGCTAATCTAACCAAATCTAACTTAAACCCCGAGGTAGCGTTAGGGTGTTTAATCATTAGGTGATATAAGCTGGGGCGTCATCTATACGTGAATTAAGCTGGGGTGTCTAATCTTCAGATGATTCTTGTGGGGTTTTTTTTTTCTCAGGAGGGTGAAGAGCAGGTGTGGGCTCCTCAAACACTCCTCCTCAGCACTAAGCACGAAGCTGGCGGTAAGGTATCTCGAGTCACCTGAAGCCGGTTCTTGGGAATGTTAATTACCCCAAAGACAGGTGATCAAATGTTTAGATCACCTGGAGATTCGAAGCCCCGAGTTTATTTCACCTGAAGATTCGACACTCCACCTTATATTTCACCTGAAGATTAACCGCAAGCTCATTTTATCTGAATATTAGCCTTCTTAGATTATTTCACCTGAAGATTAACCACCCTAGCGTTACCTGATGGTTAGGTTAGGTTAGAGTAGTTTTAGGTTAGATTAGTGTTAGGTTAAGGAAAAGGAGAGGAAGGAATGGGGTGGGGGGGGTAGGGTGTAGGGTGTGGAAGGGTGGGGGTGGGGTGGGGTGGGGTAGGGTGGGGGTGGAGTGGGGTGAGGTGGGGTGGGGAGGGGGTGGGGTGGGTGGGTAGGGTGGGGTGGGGTAGGGGTAGGGTAGGGAGTGGGGTGGGGTGTGGTGGGGTAGGGTGGGGTAGGGAAGGACACAACAGCGTTCCTGACTATTACTAATGCAACTGTTGGCCAGTTTGTAAAGAAAGAAAGAAAAAAAATGCTTCATGGCCTCAAAAATAAATTCCTTTTTTCCCTTCACACTAAAATGTTCTCAGCGTCGCCAAAAGCCAGAGAGGAAATGTGAAAATCCGCCGTGGGTGACAACTTTTAGTACTGACCAAATTACGTGATGTTTATAGACTTTCTCGCAATTCTTAGTGTAGAGTAACGGCAGTTTATAGTAAGGTGAGCGAAGAGATAAGGGAGAAGACTAAACATTGTGGAGTAGGCGTGGCAGTGAAGAGAGAGAGAGAGAGAGAGAGAGAGAGAGAGAGAGAGAGAGATAAGAAAATTGAAGTCATTGATTTGAACACAGGTAAAGTTAAACAGGTAAACGTTAACGAGTTTTCTACTCAGGTGTTTTACTTTAAATGTTGACTAATGTTAAATTGTGACAAGCAATGGCGGGTGAGTAGTGAGTTAACATAGGGACATGACCATCTAAGCCGAAGACAAAAGCTTGACTGGATGACGATAACGAAGCCAAGATTTAAGGTCCTAAGGTTCTTATGTATGAGGAGGAAGACTTACCTGAGGGGAGATGAGGGAGGTGGACGAGGCCAGGGAGGTGATGGAGCCATATTGGTCTCGTTGGCCAGAAGCGAGAGACGTGACTGAGCCGTAGTGAGCCCCCATCAAGCCGTCGTCACTCGTCGTGGAATCTATAGAAGACATACGAGGGTGGGAGGACACACCACCAGGGGCGCCGCGCTTGTTCCAGTCGTGACGCTCGAAGGCCCTCATTATATCTGCCATTTTAGGTGTGTTGGAGGCACCAGTACGGGGCATTGATATACCAATAGAGGCTCGGGGGCGGGAGAAGGCGTCGAGCACCTCCTTACTGGCTGTGCGTGAGAGCGACGCCTCGGGGGTGGAGCAAAGGTCGTCCCGGGAGTCAGTGGAGACGGCGGGGCTCAGCGGGGCGCCGGGATTCAGATAGTGAGAGTCCATCACACCTGCGTCGCCGCCCTCGATTAGGCTGGTGGGTCGTGAGGGCGCGCCTCCCGTGTTACCCTCACGTCGGTCACGCATCTTGATGCCGCTGCTGCCATACTCTGGCATCGACAGCTTGCGGTCTGGCACTTCTGCCCGGGGTATGTCTAGACTCTCAACGCGGACGTCACTACTCTTGGTTTTCGGTGATGATTCCGGTGTGTCGCTGTAGAGGCAGGTGGGGCGGGATGGTCGACCAGCGTCTACCTCGGATGATTCGTCGTACAGTCTTGGGGGACGAGATGGTCTCTCCAAGGTGGACGAACCTGATGCTCGCTCGTCATAGAGGCGGGGAGGCCTGGTTGGCATATCAAGACGAGTAGTACTCTCTCTCCTGACGAGTTGTGGCTGTGGTGGGGCTGTGGTGTCTTCTTCAGCTCGTTGTTGCCACTTCTCTGCTAAGGCGCGGAATCCTCCTGATTTTTTCTTCGTCCGATCTGGCGACGCCGAGTCTGAAGCTCTTCGTAGTCTCTGAATCTTTGTCTCCATGTTCGAAGTTGAACCGGAGGAGCCGTACTTCATCTCAAGCGCCGCCCATCGCTCTGACCGTCTCACGGGGGAAGACATTGTCGACGTTAGCGTGTTAACTGATTCAGCCGTTTCCACAACTCGTCGTGACGCAGACATGGGCACTTCTGCGATCACTTCTTGGTTCGTGGCTTCATTAAGTTGCTCAAAGTCGTCAACAATTTCATTTAGATAAGCTACTTTTAGTTGTGATTCCTTGTACATTTCTCCTTCCTGATCAAAGTAGACAGGTTCTGCCGACACTTTCACTTCGTCGTATTTGGTGACGTGGATGACAGAATCTTTAGAATTCCGCCTGGATGAGTCCTGGGAAGACCTACGTGAGGATGCAGTGGATGACGTGGAGGATGAAGATGGCTGACGACGAAGACCTGTTACTTTCGGACCATCACGAAGCTCTGTGTCCAGCCGCTGAGGGAATCTGTCTGTCTCTTCACTTCTCTCAGGGGTCGTGGTGTACTTACGGATGATCTCTGGCGTCTGCTGCTCATCACTGTTCTTCCCTGAGCTACACCTGGCTGAGTTGATTACATTTCTTCTGTTCTCGGCCTCAATACTGCCTCGCTTCAGGACTCTTCTGGCTGCCTCCTGTTCTTCAAAGGAAGTCTGTGACCTGTAGCTCCTCCCCCTTCGGTCGTCGTGGTCGTCGTGTTCCGGCATGGGAGACGACGGAGGCGACATACCCTGAGAGAAACTGGACTGAGTGGAACTAACTGCCGAGTCGTTGTCACTGTCTTCAGCCCTACTGAAGCGGGAGTCTAAGGAACTCTTTTGTGAGAGTGGGAGTTTGCTGTAGTTATGTCGGTCGTTGCTGTACCTGCTGGTGTCCGAGTAATCGAATGGGTGTTCTGAGCTGGGTGTCTCCAGGCTCTTGGGGGACGCGTGAGCGGGCGGGATGGGGGAGGCGTAGGAGAGGTCGCTGGTGGGAGAGGCGCTGCGGGTGCTGTGTGATCGACCACTTGGAGGCGGTAAATTGTCAGACTTGTTGAACACTGTCACGTTCTTCCGCTTGAATGCTGGCGAGTACTTGGGTAAAGTGCTCGTGTTGTGATTCTTCCATGGCGGAGCGTTGAGTGAGCTGTGTCTACTGGTGTTGGACTCACAGGAATCGATGCTGGAGATGGAGTCGGCCTTGTAGAGTCTGGGGGAGCGCTGACCCTCACGCGGGAGGGACATGGTCTTAGCAGAAGCTGCAGGAGGAATGCTGGCAATACGAGGAAGGTCGATGGATGTCTTGTCACCTTCGCTGCCCCGACTCTCAGGGATCACAAGACCTCGAAGTTTGCATCCGAAACTTTTCCGTCTCTGTTCGATAAGGTTGGTGAGCGAGGTCCTGCGCTCCCTCTCCTCGGGCTTCTCAACACCGTACTGGTACACTGAGGGTCGATCGTAAGCGCCCACACTGTGACGCTTGGTCAATGTCGACCGCCCAATGTCGATGAGACTCTGTGAGCGACCGTGAAGCCCCTTGGCAGAGGAGTCGTCCTCCGCCCTCTTCTCTTCACGTAGCTCGTGTCGACGGGGCGCTGGTGGTATCTCCTGTCTGATGTCAACTTCACTAGAGGCTGTCGACATGGGCTTGATATTGTCCTTGGGCTCGGCGGTGCTGACGTTGATCATAGAGCTGAAGGCGGAGGTCTTTGTGAGGGAGCGAGATCCGTTGTGAGCTTCTCTCCCAGACTTGGCGCTTGAACCTTTGGAGTTCTCTAGCCGCACGTCATCCTCGGTAAAGGCGCGCTTCATGGTGTTCTCGTCACCCTCCAGTTTGTCTAACTTCCTGGTCTTCGGGTGTGGCTGGTCGGGTCCGTCGGTAGAGAACATGGCAATCTTGTCTCGGACACTTTTCTCGCTTCGCTCATCCTGGCGACGCCACCGCCCGCGTGTGGGCGTGGGTTCCCTAGACCTTCTCTCTTCATTGCCCGCCCATTTTCCGCCCACATCTAGTGTCCTCTCGGTGGTGTAAGTCTTGGAGTTGGTGGGGGAGGTGCGGGGTATGGGCGGTGGCGGGCCTAGTGGGGTGCCCGGGGCGGAGCGGGTGCGAGGGGTGGAGGTGGGCGGGCTGGTAGGACTGTCTAGCTCCATGGCCAGGCGTGAGTACCGGGCGTAGCGGGACAGCTTGTCGGGGAGGCCCTCGGCGTAGGTGCTGGGGAACTCATGGCCATCTGGGGGCAGCCTGGAGTAGGGGGGCGGCGCTCCTCCTGACGACGCCGAGTAGCGATGTTCACAGGCAGACACACTCACACTGCCGCCGCCTCCTGCAACACAAACACAACAGTCAGTACTATGTAACACAACACAACCTATATCGTGCAGCAACACTTACCAACACAACATGACACCTTCTTACACAGCACAACACACAATCATGACACTAAATATAGGTCAAACAAGGTCCAGGTAATGACCATTTGTGAGGTCATACTCAACACAGGTCATCATTACAAGGTTGAATCATATAGTGTGTGTGTGTGTGTGTGTGTGTGTGTGTGTGTGTGTGTGTGTGTGTGTGTGTGTGTTTGCGTGCGCATGAGTACAACATTCTTGATCGCCTGGCCGAGTTAATGAAACTTCATAGGATAATCAACGCCCTTGTCTCTGTTAATACTAGGTTTAAAATAGATCAACAATTCACAGGATGATCACCGCCTTTGTCTTAGCTAATACTGGGTTTTATTTACAATAATTGGGCGCCAATATAAGAGAGGTGGTGACGTAACTGGATGACCTGGGGATTAGGGACCTCCTTGTTGACATATAATCCTACCACCACCACCACCACCACTACCACACCACAACCACCACACCACTACCACACCACACCACTACCACACCACTACCACCATCACAACCACAACCTTTAGCTAGACACCACACACTATTACTCGCCTCCAGAAACGATCGCTCACCAAGACTTACACCGAACCTAACTCAACCTAACCTGGCCCAATTCCAACTCAGCCTCAACTTAACCTTAACCTGGCCTAGTCCAACCTTCAACCAACCTAACCAAACTAACTTAACTTAATCAATAAAATGAAACACACAGAGTATGAAGATGTATTACTGTATTCACTGCAGCAGAGTTAGCCAGTTGGTAATACAGATGAATACAGGAATACAAGATAAGTTAGTGTATTGTTGAATAAGTTAATAACAATACAGAGATTACAGAGTCTACTTATACTGTGTGGGTGTATGTGTGGGTGTAGAGGGTGTGGGTGTATGTGTGGGTGTAGAGGGTGTGGCTGTAGAGGGTGTGGGGTGTGAGGTGTGGGTGTAGAGGGGCTGGGGTGTGTGGGGTGTAGAGGGGAAGGTAGAGGGTGTGGGCTGTATGTGGGGTGGGAGGGTGGCTGTAGAGGGTGTGGGGTGTATGTGTGGGGTAGAGGGTGTGGTTGTAGAGGTGTGGGGTGTGGCTGTAGAGGGTGTGTGGGTGTAGGTGGTGGTGTGGGTGTAGAGGGTGGCTGTGTGTGTGGGTGTATGTGTGGGTGTAGAGGGTGTGGCTGTAGAGGTGTGGCTGTATGTGTGGGTGTAGGGTGTGTGTGTGGGGTTGTATGTGTGTAGAGGGTGGCTGTAGAGGGTGTGGTATGTGTGGGTGTAGAGGGTGTGGCTGTATGTGTGGGTGTAGAGGGTGTGGCTGTATGTGTGGGTGTGGGGTGTGGGAGGTATTGTATGTGGGGTAGAGGGTATGTGTGTGTAGGTGTGGGTGAGGGTGTGGCTGTGTGGGTGTGTGTGGGGTGTAGAGGTGTGGCTGTATGTGTGTGTATGTGGGGTGTAGAGGGTGTGGGTGTAGAGGGTGGGCTGTATGTGTGTGTAGGTGGGTGTAGAGGGTGGCTGTATGTGTGTGGGTGTGTGGGTGTGTAGTAGGTGTGGGTGTAGAGGGGTGTGTGGGTGAGAGGGTGGGTGGGGTGGCACGTGTGTGTATATGATGAGATGGGAGTGGTGGGGAGGAGGGAGTGTAGGGGGAGGGTGTAGGGAGGAGGGGGGAGTGAGGGGTGTAGGGGAGGAGGTGGTGGGTAGGGAGGAGGGGGGAGTGTAGTGGGTGTTGGGGGGGGGGAGTTTGAGAAGATGGACAACTACGATGATGGAAAGGCTCACCCCTAGTTTAGGGGAGATGGGAGGAGACGGTAAGGGAGGAGACCGTGATGATCAAACCCAGGTGGTTACAGACAGACGATGGAGAGACGAGGCGTGATGTGTGCGTCAGGAACACCAAGGCGAGAGCTTAATACCTCTTGTTATTATACAAACTTTTCCTCCTTCTCCTCCATCTCCCCTTCCTCTTTCCTCTCTCAATCTTCTCTCAGTTCTCACTACTACCCTCACCCTTCCTTTCTTCATCTCCCCTCTTTTCCCTCATTTATTTATCTCCTCTCTACACCCCTCATCTCCTTCCCTGTGTCCCTACCTCCCACCAGGGTCATCAGGTCAAGGGTCAAGGTCAGTCCGTCCGTCGAGAGAGAGAGAGAGAGAGAGAGTACTCCACTTTCAGCTCACATTACACCTTAACTAGGACTGAACACCTGATGGGGAAGAGTATATACCCGACGAAGGGCTGGAGGAGAGGGAGGGAGCGATGCCTGGAGGGAGGGAGGGGGGGAGGGGCGAAGGGCTGGAGGAGGGAGGAGGGGCGAAGGGCTGGAGGGAGGGAGGGAGGGAGGGCGATGGGCTGGAGGGAGGGAGGAGGAGGAGGGGAGGGAGGGAGGGAGGGCGATGGGCTGGAGGGAGGGAGGGGAAGGATTAGGGGAGTGTTGGCTTGCTTAGGGATGCTGGGACACCTCATTAAAGAGACCTGAAGGAGGGAAGGAAGAAACAATTGCTGGAGAGTTAGTTGTATACCTGACGGAAGGGAATGACTGGAGGAGAGGAGAGGAGGAGGAGAAGGAGGGAGAAGGAAAGAATAAGGAGGGGGGGAAGGAAAGAAGGAACGTTACCTTGGTTAGAGACGTGAAAAAATACTCCTTGTTAAGAGGACTATAAACGAAGGAGTGAATGAAACACTCTGGGGAATTAGTTATAAACCGACGAAGGGAGGGAGGAGGGGGGGGGGAAGGCCAGGTGCTGGGAAGAGTTCCTCCTTCAAGAGAGATCGGAGGGTGGAAATGCAAATTGGTTATCATGAGAGAAGGAGAGGACGGGTCACGCGATATGGCCTTCACCCCCACCACACGCTTGGAGGAGGAGGGGGGGGTGAGGGGGTGCAGGGTGAGGGGAGGGGGGATTTTGTGGTGGTAGAGGGAGGAATGTGGTGGTGGTGGTGGTGGTAGGACAACGGCTAGTGATCAGTGCCCCATACCTCCTCCTGTGTTATATAGAATTCACAAAGGTCAGGTCAGGTCAGGTCAGGTCAGGCTTTGAGAATTAAAATATAAACATTGGGTTTATCTACTCAATACAACA